GGGCCTCACAACAGCAGAGTAGAGGGGGACAATCACCTCCCTGTCCCTGCTTTCTACCCCTTTTCTGATGAAGCCAAGGATACCATTTGCTTTTTAAAGTTACAGCCCATCTGTTTCTAACTGCCGTAAATTGCCTTTCTACCTGAATAGGTCTTTTGCAGAAGATAAACTGAGCAAGGTTCAGGAATACTTACATGCACGTTTGTTAGAAATGCACTGAAGCATGTAGTGCCACTGAATTGCCACTTAAGTCTAGAAGGGATAAAATGTCTGTGAATCTGCTTATCAACAAATGTATTGAAAAAGAATGATTTCTTTCCTGTCATTCCCTTAATTTGTGTACATAAATACACAGCAAATGCACAGTATCATCTAGAGAAGCATTCTACAGCCCTGGATTGACGTTTCAGGTCTTGTTTATTTTTTATCTTTTCACAATGATATACAGTGATGAGCAAAGCTCTCACTATTGCCTTCATCTGCTAATCCATAAAAAAAAAAGCAGAAATAATTCTTTTCATAAAGTGCTCTGTAGGCTGTGTGCGCAAAGCTCAGTGTGTGTGCAGCACACAAAATGCCACTATGTGTAAAGCAGGCATAATGCTCTACTGAATCAGGTAGCTGCTTTTTGCAGCAGATCCGTATTGGTGGAGAAATAAAACTCATCCAGTTGGACTGAAGAGCTAAGTGTACCTAGTAGAAGATACAGAGCTCTCAGAGGAAATTGTAATAGATAATGGTGGTCTTTCCTAAGGAGAGACTGCAACTGAACTTACAGTTGAAGCAAAATACTCAAGCTGGAACATTTTTCATTCATTTAAAAGCTGGAGAGGAAGAGCTCAGCAAGCCACTGCCACTGAAGTCCTCTAAAAAGATCCTAGAGGAAGTTGTTTGCCATGAGCAAGTTGGCAAATGTCATGTAATGTAAGACATGATGTGTTTGCTGAGGCCAGGTGTGGAAGATGTTAGTTGTCCTTGATGTTACATTTCCATTTACTGTCAGTAAACTGTCAGGCAGTTTCTCTGCTGATCACTTTACTGACACGTAGATTCTAGGTGTGTTTGTCTTAATACATCAACTATGGTGCCATTTGACACTGTGCCATTGTTCTGAAGTGACAGTTACTTCAGATTTTCTGAATGTTCTTGGACACAGTTTTGTTTTGCAGAACTGGTAAGTCATGTAGCAGTGGCTGGGTGATTAATTACAGCTCATCAAGTCCATTCGTATTTCTGTGGTGGAGAGGCTGTCTCAAACAACTTACCTCCTTCTTCTGGAGCTGTTTGGTAACTGTTGAACCTAATGAGAACGCCGAGGCCAAACCATACACTTACTGTAAAAATAAAACCATCCACAATTAGTGCAAATTGAGTAGTTTCAGCAGTAAGAAGACTTGCATTTAGCTCTGCCTTTGGAATTGCTCAGGTTAACCCCTGGCTTCTGCCTCCACAGGTTGGAGTGTGCTGTGTGGTGGTTCGGTGTGTGACACTGAGGTACGGCTGTGTGCGGTGCAGCAGCAGACTGCCAACAAGTGACAGTAAATTATTCTGACATCATCACTAAGTGTAAGCATTCCTTTGGAAACGGAGCAGTCCTCATCATGTGCTGAGCCACGTGTATCACTGAAGAAGTGGCTAACAGCAAAATTGTAGGTGTTATTATTAAAAGTATCCTGTGCTCAAACAATATCAACGTTGTATAAACTTAGGGAAAAAGTGCACTTATAGTATACTTATAGTATACTTACAGTATACTTTTCTAATAGGGAGATCTTGCTTGAGAGGATGTCTTTGAGTTTACTTTTTTCCTTGGTGCCAATTTCCTATTTCAGGACTAAGTTTTTAACACTGAACATTTTTTCTTTTTATGGAAGGATGATGTAAAAGCTAGATTTTTCAGGAGATAGCGATGCGTTTTTAGAAGCAGTCATTTACTGAACCAAATTAATTGAACTCCCGGAGTGGTGATGTGTAGGGATATTCAGAATGGTCATTTTGCAGTACTTCAGTGTCTCGTTGCTCACTAATGCAAGTCCCTTTGTGACGTGAGTGCATAAGGGGAGGTGTGCCAGCTTCCACATAGGTTCAGCCTTGTGTTCTGATTCATCTTCAGAAGCAATTTAAAGAGAATCATGCTTTGGATTTTTTTCTAAATCTACTTAATTCGATCTTCACAGCAGGATTATTATTTTTTTATTACTATTCTTTCTGACTGTGAAATACTGAGATTTCATTTCAGTCTTCTGCTCTTCAGTGATGAATTCTTAAATAATGTAATAATAATAAAATCTGAATCGGAAATATTTTCAGTTGCGCTTCCTGGTCCCTGTGAATCCTTGTGCTTCCTTTCCTGAGAAGTGGTGAGGGTATTTCTGGTTTTATTATTAGTTTATGTTTAATCAGCATTGTGTGAAGTGACAGGAAATTCTGCAGGGCTTTACCAGACCTACACATCTGGTATGAAAATATAAACATGAGCTTAATTTAGCAGAGTGTGCCATACTGTTTCTCAAATAGCATATTTTTCTTCCAGTATAATATTCTGTTGTTGATATACGTTAGGCCTTTTTTTATTGAGGAGGTTTAAGCATTCAAATACTACATTATAAGCAAGCCATGATCTTTTTATCAAGTACAAGTAGAGTTTTGTGCTGTTGATATGCTGTTAACATGCTGATAATTTGAGGTTTCTGTGTTATTTATGGTCTTGCATTAGGGAAGATTTAGTACAGAAAGTAAAGGTGTCAGCTACACCATGCAGAAATTGGGCCTGACATTTTTCTGAGCAGGGATTGGGCTCGTAGGGTTGAAGAAGCATTCTGATCTCATTTATGATTTGGGTGGAAAGTGGACAAGAAAATTGAAATTGCTGTCAGCTGTCAATCCTGGCTTTGCATCCACCAAGGTTTTGTAACAGACTCATGGAAAATACAAGCATGATGTCCTTACTTTCCATGTAGGGTTTTAAGAAGTCTGCTAATGCCCTAAGTGATGCAAGCCTTATGTGAAATGTTTTATGTTGTATCAAGGAACTTCTTGCTACTGGCAGTAATTGTGGGAAAGTATGGTCGAGTCAGTGATATACCATTACATGCTTAAAAACATACTTGCAGCCCAGTGGAACATCCTCTGCCTCAAATCATTCCTTATACAGATAGCAGCATTTAGCATTTATCCCCATCACTTTCACTTCTGCAGCTAAGATAGGAAAAAAGTTGTGCATTCCTGCACAGGGAAACTGGACATTGTTGATACATGTGGCAGAGTTTGTTCAAATAGGAAATGCAAAGGAGAGAAGTTTAATCTAATAACCTCAGCATTCCCAATACTGTTAATCAAACCAGTGCATAAACATTAGATATGGCCCTGTGAGGTGCTTTGATCTTGAGTGTGATCAAAACATGGGGGGGAAGACTGTGAAATACAGACTTTATCATTCTCTCATTTTCTTGAGAGTTTAAAATTGAATTCTTTGGCTACTGGCCACGTTTCCATTCTCGTAGCTGAATGGGTGCACTAATGTAGAAGAATACCTTGTATAGATGAGAAAATTTAAATCTGCATATAGCAGTCATATAAGAGGTTTGTAGAGTTAATCAGGACACAGCTACAGCCTTACCCCAAAATACAAACCTAGATCAAGACAGAGATGCTAGTTCACGTGAAATGTCAATTTCCATTCAGACTTTGTCTGCTTAAAATTCTTTTTCTTCCTGTCACTTGAACTCGTGTTGTGGTTGTATGGAATCTTCTAAGAATTTTACTGATTTATATGATCTTTTATTGCCTTCTTTCTGAGGCAATGCAGAACTTTGCTGTCCACTCCCTGCGCACACAAGTGGTATCATCCTCTTTCATAGTCCTTCTTTTGTCTTCTTCTTTGTTTTTAAGTAATTTTCTTTGTGTTCCATAAGTCTGCTGTCATCATACCCTCATTATTTGAATTATCCTTTATATACCCTTTTGCAAAATTTCAATCATGCTTCATGAAGTGCTTCTCCATAGGCTCTGGCTGGCTTCTCCATAGCACTTCTGGCTGTACACACAACAGCTCCACTCCATTTTATTATTGTCCTCCTCGTACCCGTTTTCAGTTTTCACTTCCTTTGCTCAGTAGTTTATGTATCTATGGCACTATAAAAACAATTTGCTGCAAAGTGCTGAAAATTGTATTTCTTGCACAATAAAGGGGTTAGTATTTGTAGTAGCCAAGTATTTTCAGCAACTGACTGTGCATCAAAGTTCAAGTGGAGATGGTGGAAGTACCCCTAGAGAGGCTCTGCTTATATGTTGCTGGTAAGAATTGCACTTACAGTCACTGTATCTGTTAGTTGAACTGTTTGTAGGCACTCAGGTTATGAAAAGTACTTCTCCCTTCTTTCAGTCTTGACCTATGGTGTAGTATACTTCAATATTAGTTCTGCTACATGTGATGTTTTCCTAGGGGAGAGGTACTCACCTGACTTGTATTGCTGGCATTGATTTTATTAGTTCTCTGTAATAAGAAGGCTATGCTACAGTTTCCAGACATGAGTAAAAGAGCTCTTTCCATGTTAACAGGAGGGAATGCAGCGCATGAAATTACTATGTAGGACAGGAAGATTTCAGAGTTGGTTCCTGAGCTGGATTGCGTTTTGGTTCAGGAACCAGCACGGTCTGACAGATGTCTGCATTGTACTTATTTGCCTGGCTTCAATGGCACTTTTCCCACCTTTTCTTGCAGGTTTGTCATCTATTCCAGAGACAGCCAGAACCATGTCCTACGTTTTTGTAAATGATTCTTCCCAGACAAACGTGCCGCTGCTGCAGGCTTGCATTGATGGAGATTTTAACTATTCCAAACGCCTGTTAGAGAGTGGTTTTGACCCAAATATCCGTGACAGCCGGGGCCGAACTGGCCTCCATCTTGCTGCAGCCAGAGGAAATGTAGACATCTGTCAACTCTTGCACAAATTTGGTGCTGACCTACTAGCCACTGATTATCAAGGTAATACAGCCCTTCACCTGTGTGGGCATGTGGATACCATCCAGTTCCTAGTTTCTAATGGACTTAAAATTGATATTTGGTAAGTTGCTTTTTCTAGTTGGCTTTTTTTTTTTTTTAATTTTTTAAATAGCACGTGTTTTATAATGTATTAGTGCTCATCTCTACAACACTGTATACAAATCTGCTGTTGCTGAAATACTGTATTTAGTGCAGTTCAACTTTGTACAATATCACTAAATAAAAGAAGAAAATAAAAAGGCAGGAAAACAATAAGAGGCCACTTCTGCTGATCAAATGCAGCAAGCAAAGCAAATAAAAATAGCAGCTGCTGGTGTGGGCTGCTGTATCTAATTCTGCCTCTGCGATGACACTGCTATCCTGGTTTGGCCAGACAGCTAGGTGTGGGTGGTTGGCACCAAAAAAGAAAATCACATTGACTACTTTAAAAGGATTTTCTCTGCCACAGTGCTTTTGTGTTAATTGTTGTACTGTATAAGACAAAGGAAATACAGTATATGTGTGTGTCAGTTCATTCCCATACTCCTTTGGTGACAATGCTTCTTTTCAGTGTTTTCCCACTCCCTCAAAGTCTGTGACTCACTCCTTTTAAATATTGTATATTCTTTTCCTCTGGCTTCCAGCAGCTGTCAGATGCCAGTGCTCAGATGCAGACTCTCAAACTACAAATAACTAGCTATTTCATTGCAGTAACTGACTTATTTTGTTTGTGAAACTTTCTGCACTGTCACAATGCGTGCAAAATATTTGAAACTTCAGAATTTTTTTTTTTTAACCGGACCCCTTTTCACTTCTCTCTCATTGATGCTTTCATTCCAGCAAAAGGAGTTAATGGCACACCAGATTCTTCAAGGGTTGTGTCTCTTTTTCTTACTTCAAGCAACTCTGGTGAAAATCCATAATCTGAAGGCAGCTCCAGTCCCATTCAGTATTATTTTAAAAGTAGCAGAGGGATCATCTGTATTTTATTTCATTTTTGCCCAATGTCCTCATACCCACATGGAAAAAGGAACTATGAAGAAGCAGATTGCACAACTTCTTGAAATCATGCTGAATCTCAAACAGTGCCGTAAATCTACTCTTTTTTTATTATAGCACCCAGGGATTCCAATTAAATTAGAACACTAGAAATTTTGATTTTATTTGTAGGAAAAGGAGTTTTGCTATTTCAAGCCTAAGTGCACTGGTATTCTTCTGTAGTCATTTATGGTATTACTTTTATAGACAGGAATTGCTTACAGTCTTGTCTAACAAAATAGTCCTGAGCACTAAATTTTACATTGCATGTTATGCTAAGTTGTCTTGTATCAAATTTCTACTTCAAGAGTTTCTTTTCTTCGTGTGTCCTTTTGTGGCATTATTTTAGCAATCACCAAGGTGCAACACCACTTGTTCTTGCAAAACGAAGGGGTGTAAATAAAGATGTGATCAGACTGCTGGAATCTTTGGAGGAGCAAGAGGTGAAAGGATTTAACAGAGGAGCCCACTCAAAGCTGGAAACAATGCAAACTGCTGAAAGTGAAAGGTATTCACAAAACAAAAAAGTGGTAATGGGAGAAATAATTTTGTGTATGTAAAATATGTCTTTGTTAGTACCTGTGTATTGCCTTTAGATTGTTATGATTTGGCTTGCTTCTTTGTTCCTCAAAATGGAAAGTATCAGGTTTGGCCTGATACTGTCTGACCAAATCCAAGTTAAGTTTTAGAATTTGGAAAAATCTCTCAATAGGTCAAATGTAAGGAAAAGGAAGAACTCTCTTTAATTGGGATTCTCATTTTAAACTTGTAATTAAAAAAAAAATTAAATAATAACTCATTTTCTGTTATAACCTCAAGCAATAAGCATTGCACTTTATCATGAAGCCAAAGAGAATATGGGAGGAAGTGAGAAATGCCAGTAGCACACACTGTCCTACCACGCTTTCATTATCATGGGTTGTCTATGTAAAGAAGGGGTAACAGGCTTTTCATCTGTCTGAACTTGAATAAAGGCTTTGATACGGTGCTATTTATGAAATTTCTATTGGTAGTAGTTCTGGAAAAGATGGAGAATAAATGAGTTGTGCAGTGGACAGACAGGTGGTTATAAAAGCTGGTGATTTCAGGAAAACAGCTCACTATTTCAGGGAATGTACTGGGTGAGGGGGAAGATAGCAGTGAGTTCCTAAAGGTTTAGTTCTGGGACTGGGCATACTTTCATCAATGATTCTGACACAGAAAATGGATCTTACTGATGCTAAAAAGTGGGATGCAGGCAGCTCAGAGGATAGTTAGGATGCCATAGGAAAAAAACTTGACAAGGGAAAGGAAATTGGAACCCACTGATCAGAGAAACCTTTTAAGCCCTGAGATACAAAATTGAATATTACTGTCAAAATTGCTTTGGTATAAAATATTGGATTTTCTGCCTGTTATCTTTTTGACTTTGTAAATTTTACTGGAAGTTGTTTAGTCCATATGTCATTTCTGTCTGACTTTGTGTCAAAAGCTCAGTCTCATCTAAATGGCGATTTTTGATTTGATAGTGTCTCTTTAATGAGCATAGCTTCCTTTCTGTTATTTGACCTTCGTAAATGTTACATTGTTTGGTTTGGCAAGGAAGTCAGCAGTTCTCCTTGGGGAGAAGCACAGACATATAAACAGTGCGTTACCCAGCTTGTTTGTGAACGTATTTAACATGTCTGAAATATATTATATTTAGGCCTGCAGCAGTAAAAGCAAGTGAGCTTGTATGCTGTTTGCTTTGTAAATAAATAATGTCTTTGTAACAGTTGGCTTTTCAGACTGCCACAGTTTCACTCCTCCCCCTTTCTATTTTTTCACAAAGTTTAGATGAATTTTGCTCAGATGAATGGTTTCTGTCCTCCTCCCTCCCTCCTCCTTACATTATCTACCAACCTTCTGAAAAATAATGGTTGCTTTTTCTGTAAACTGTGAGCTTCACTTTTGAGCAACAGTTTCTGATTTCAGATTTCTCCAGTTGTTTTGCAAATGGTTGCTGCCGGTCTGGAAGCAGAAGCCAAAACTTAGTTCCCAGATCAAATTTCTGTTCTCTTGCTTTGCCTCCTGACAGCACAGGGGAAGGGCAGAGCTCACCTCTGTCTGGCAGCACAGGTGACCTGTCCCTCCACACTGCCTGACATGACTGACAGTCATGCCCACAAGTACAGCCAGAGGTGAACTTCCATAGTATGCTGAAACAGAAAAGAACGTCCACCTGGGCTGTGTGGCATGGACTCTTCTGTAGGATGCTTTGCTGCTCTACTATTGCTTAAGCAGATGTAATTTGTCATAAGAAAAAAATGTCCTAAATACCATTACTTTTAAATGGGTTGCTGTATAAAATATCAAAAATGTTTTCTATGTCCCCTTTTCTATTTAATGAGCAAGCACGTGATCTTTTCACTTGAATCACATTGCAGCTTTATTTAAACTCTCTGTGGTTATGTATTAACTAGTTCCTACGTAGTGAGTAAGTAGTTGTGTCTTACGCCAGTGGCTGTCTTCTAATAAAGTCTTTGTTTTGCTTAGGAAATCATGAGCAAGGAAGATGACTAAATCCTGTAGCTATGGGCAAGCTACAATAGCTTTACAGCAAACTAAATACTTTAGAAGCAAAAAAGGCAAGCTGTTTAATATGCAATTTCTGAAATTTTCTGCGCATCACACTGCAATGCTTCTGTAAGCTGCAGGAGTTGAGGTTAATTATTCTTCTGTGGCTGTACTTCCTAAGAAAAACATATGAATAGTGTGAAACTTTTCGATGGCATAATCTTGGAAGGGCAATTCATAAACGAGACAATCTCCAATATCTTTATTTCCAGTAGCACAACTGGTGAACAGTAGCATTTATAATTGTATAAACTAATTAGTTTTGATTTGGAAATTACTTTTCCATGTAAGGTTTTCTGTTATTGTTGGTGTAAGAGATACGTAGGAATATGGTAAGTGAAAGCAATTAGAGGAGAGGAAGAAGTGTTTTTCTTTTCTGCTTCCCTTCTGCTTTGATTTCACTGTGGACGCAGTACCATTGGCTTTCTGTGCTTGTCAAAGCACGTTTTTCTAAACACCCGTGTGTGACATTTCAAGGAGCAGTAGGGCTGTACTGACAGCTGGAATTATACGTACGTGTAATAAATTGATGAGAAAATTTTTATAGACCAATTGTGAAACCAGCAAACTGAGGAGGATACAAGAAGCCAAGTGGTATTTGAAACAACTCATGTTTTTTTCTAAAGATGATTCGTGGCCAAGATGACTGTAGCATTCTAATTCTTCTCATTTAAAAGTGAGAGTCGCAGGCCCTAATTTGTAGTCTGACAATTCTTGATGAATTGGGGGTGGAATGTTAAAACCAATATCAGAGTGACTGCTGAGAATCATGTGGCCAAAATAACAGCAGTACTAACTTGTCTTGAAGATCAGAAAGTTTTGGGTTGGTTTATTTTTTTCCAAATGTATTATTTTCTGTGGTATTTTTAAGCTAGAGGAGAGGCCTCTCATAAAGAAATGCAGAGAGTAATAAATATCACCTCATAGTTTGGAACCTAAATGATCTTGGTTAAAGTCACCGTTTCATTTGGCAGAACATACTTTTAAATCGTAATTTCTTGTTCTGTTAACAAGAACTGTGCCCCTTGAGGTTTTATGTTATGCTCCATTAAATTCACAAAGCCATGCTTAGTGGGAATTACGAGCATTGACTTTCGAAGGCTTCTTAGGTGGCAAGCCTGCCAACTCAGCGCAGCAGTACTGATAGAAGTACTGCTCTCTTTACCCTGGTTAGAAAAACATCCTTTCACTTATCCTAAGTTTAGAGTGAGGAGTCTTTTCCTGATCTGCTTTTCTTGAGTTAGCAGGGGCAATGCTATAAATCTGCAGGTGGCTTTGGTTTTTAATTTAGAACGTTTTGGTTGCTCTGAGTAGGATTACTGTCTTACTTAAAGGTGTGTTCTTTTCCTCTGATTTATTTTTAACTTTAATCCTTTGTAGTGCAATGGAAAGCCATTCTCTCCTTAATCCAAACCTACAGCAAGGGGAAGGAGTTCTTTCCAGTTTCCGCACGACATGGCAAGAGTTTGTGGAAGACCTGGGCTTCTGGAGAGTGCTGCTCCTGATCATCGTCATTGCTCTTCTGTCTCTTGGAATAGCATACTATGTCAGTGGGGTGCTTCCTTTTGTAGAAAATCAGCCTGAGCTGGTGCACTGAAGCAAGTGAAAAGAAGTGTGCTGTGCTTTTTTCCATGTTGTAATCTTATTTTGAGCTTCTTGGAATTTTTCCCTCAGTGCAGACAGTGGCAGCTGTACATACTGTTTGCTTTTTATATCTACTGTTAACCCCTCTGAAAGAGAGATTAATTCATTTCAAGTAAAACACTAAATTCTAAAGCATTCCAAAACTACCTCTGCCATCTCAACTTGGAAGCAAGATGTGGAGATTATCCTCTCTGCTGATAAAATGTTGTGATTAGAAAAGGTCTTTTATAATGAATATAACATTCTTAAGCGTGAATTGTGTAACCTAGTACACAATCAAATTTGATTTATATTCCATAAGAAGAGATGTAAATCTGTTGTTGCATAACATTGTATGTTTCAGTTGAAAGAAAAAAAAGTTTTTAAAAAGTCTGAATAACATAATAATACATTCTGATATATAGCCAGTACTGAGCTCTATGTTCGTATTCTTTTAGTGCCTCCCCAGTTTCTCATCTGCTAGTTTATAAAAAGACTAGAAACAGTTCCAATCTTACTACATCTTCGCTGTATAGATCACTCCTTTATTTATTAGGTTAATATGGTGTTTCTTCCCCAGATGAATTTTATGTTAAGTGAATTTTGTAGAACAAAGCCTCTGTAGTGCTTTAGAAGTAAAACCGTTCGGCCTGTGGGGTGAGGAATTTGCCTTTGTGCCGAAATGTTACTAAGCAAACCTTTCTTTGTAAGGATGGATTAAAAGTGATGTAGGTGTTCTGCTTTGTACATACCACCAGTTCTGTAAGGCCATTGTCTCTGTGAAACATGTCGTGAAGGATAACTTCCTTTCCTACTCAAGGACCTCATGGTTCCATACAATTGTATCATTTTCATGTTTGTGGAAAGAATTTGATTGACTAGAATTCTTTCCTAGAGTTACTTTCAGTTGTTTTCAGACTGCACTTACAGGCTTATGAAGTATTTTTTGAGCACGTGGAATAAAAATAGTTAAAATGTTGATACTTAGGAATATGGTATGAAATGATATCCTATCCCATTCTGTACATAAGCTGTGAAACCCTTTGTTTGTAAATTACCCAAGGATATGAATCAATTACATGCTCTTTTCTGAAGGCCAGGATGATGCCACACCGTAGTTGTAGGTTTTCAGAGAAAGCAGATTTTCTCCTTCCAAGCTGATTGGATATGCAACTCACTTAGTTGCATTCAAAACGTCCAAAAATTGAATTCTCTAAACCTAATGGATTTCTTTTTTTTACCTTACCACTCCAGAGTTGTTGCTAAATGACATCAAACATTTATAAGGTT